CCATTAATTATCATTTTAAGCAACTCCTGTGGAGATGCAGCCTAGGTCCTTCAGGTTCTATATCCATAGCTACTGAAGACCCACCAAGGAAAGTTCTTACTATCAAAGTCTTTGGCACCATCAAATAGCTCAACATTAGAAACTGATACATTTTTTTTCAATGAGAAAGAAATTAAAGAAGAGGCATTTACATCTATTTTCCTACTACACTCCATGGGACCTTCCATATGTGTTGTTTCCTCCATTCGAATCTGAGCTCTTTCAGAGAAGGGGCTATCTTGTATCTGTATCCCCAGTGCCTAGCACTGGGCTTTGCACACAGTAAATGCTTAATAAATATTTCATTCATTCATTCATTTATTCATAAATGCTCACTGACAAGAAAACAAGCTCAAGCCATATACCTAGTAAGTACAGAGTCAGGATTCAAATCTGAGTCTTCTGACTCAGAGTCCAGGGCTCTTTCCATTACCTCCCACTGATGAAAATTAGCACTGATTGCATTGTACACATACTAGTGTCATACCTTTCTGCTGTCGGGTTTGTCCTTTAAATTCTACTCCCATATGACCAAATATTATTTATGACCTTGTTATAATTTTCCTTCACCTGGGTTTCTTTTCTCAAATATTTCACTAATGTATTGGGGACTAAAGTTCAGCTAAATGTCCCTAAATCACTAGAAGCCTTGAGAAGATTACTTGTTATTTTGCTTCCTTCTTCCTGACCCTCCCTCTTTGTCTCTCAGTGAGTTTTCAAAGCTAACATTTAATTTTTGCATGGTCAGCTAATTCACTCCTCAATGGGGACACTGCTTGATTGGTATATTTGATGCTAAGCTTTTCAAAATGGCCCCTTCCCAGGTGCTAATCGATAAATATTTTAACAAAAGCTTCATTATTTCCTCCCTGTCGATAATCTCTGTTTGCTGTTTTTCTCCATAAAGGTAAATGGTTTAGAAGCTGGTTTGGCCTTTCGCCCATTTTGAAATACAAGGAATTGCTCTCCTAATTTGAGTGAATGGATTTCTCTTTCTTTGGCTGTCCTTCCCCTCCAGACACCTTCCTACTCTTTAACTCACTGGGGCACTATTGACTCAGTCCTCCCCATTGGGAATCTCTTTAAATTCAGCAGCTTTGTTCCCCTTCCATATGATTCTTTTCTTTCAAGCCTTGGACCAGTTCTTGAGGAAGGAATACTGGCTAGTCTCTATTCCAGGAATTCCTTTTTCTTTTCTTTTTCAGGAAATGTGATCAACGTGTATAATGGAAAGAAAAACCTGCGCTTGGTGTCAAGAGGCTTAGGTTCAAATCCTGACTTAAGCACTTACCAGAAATGTGAACACAAAGCCACACAGTTTCCCTCATGAGACATTCACTGTGTCAGGCCATTTGTTCTATTGTTGGACAACTCTAATTATTGCAAAGTTCTTCCTTATGCTTTGCTGCTTTTACCCCCCCCCCACCGTAATTTCCACTTGTTGATCAACCAGTTAATCGGCAAGCATTTATTAGCTATGTGCTGTGTTGTCTTATTTCTTTCCAGAGCAACACAAAACAGGTTAACTTCCCTTTCATCAGATAGCCTTCATATATTTGAGTCTTAAGCTATCAGGATCTTCTTAAGCCCTTTCTTCATTGTAGTGTTGGGGAAAGTACATTGCACTTGGAGTAGCAAGACCTAGTTTTGAAGTCCTGGTTCCATTAGTGGCTAACTATGTAAACATAGATAAGCTACTTAATCTCTAGGGGTTTGTTTCCTCAGCTTCCTCCTCAACATGGAATCACTTCCCTGGATGAGCTCTAGCTTCTCAGCACCTTTCCTAAAATAGGGAGCCTAGAAATGAACATAATACACCTACCATATGTGGTCTAGCTAGAGTAAAGCAGGATCATCACCTTTGCCATTCTAGAAGGACCCACTAATACATCCATAAGACCGAGTTATCTTTTTTTTTTTTTAGCTGCCACGTCATACTGTTGACTCAGGTTACACAAAAGTACATCAAAAGCCCAAGACCTTTTCTATACTGTTGTCTCCTCCTGTCACCCCCATCTTGTGCTTGTGGTAATGTCAAATGACAGTATAGTTTAAATCCTGGTTCTGATTCTTTGTGACCTTGGTCAAGTCATTAAACCTCATGGAGCCTCAGTTTCCTCATCTATAAAGTAATGATAATGATGCTTGTGCTGCTTCCCTTACAGGGCTGCTCTGAGAAAACCACTTTGTAAGCATTAAGGTCCTATTGAAATGTAAGTTGTCATGGTGGTTATTGATTTTCTGACACAAAATGTGAGCTTTACAGTTTTTCTTTTTAAATTTAATCTTTTTAGATTCAGCCTAACACTCTAGCCTGTCAAGATCTTTTTTTTTTGTGGTAATCAATCAACAAGTATTTATTAAGAACCTCCTATGTGTCAGGCATTGTACTAATTGCTGGGGATACAAAGAAAGATATCTAAAACAAATTCTTCCCATGAGGGGCTCACATTCTAATGAGGGAGGCAATATACAACCAACTATACACATCATCTATGGTATACGTGCATATATGTTCATAGTAGCTATCATTTATATAGTGCTTTATCTTTACAAATATTATCTCATTTTATCCTCACAACAACCTTGGGATGTAGCTGTTAGTGCTATCTTCATTCTCCAGATGAGGTGGCTGAGTCAGTGACTTGCCCAGAGTCATATGGCTAGAATATTCCTGAAGCTTTTGAAGATCTTTTTGGATTTGATTTTGACTCTCTTCCAATATTTTAGTTGTCCCTCCCAGTTTTGACATCTGTAAATTTGATAATTATGCCATCTACGCCTTTCTCCAAATCATTGATAAAAGTATTGGCCAGTATAGGGCCAAGGACATATCCTTGGGAACCTTTACTAGAGACTCCTCTCAGGTTGTCATTGATCTACAAATTAACCCTCTTTGGCCTTGATCATTTAGTTACTTCTGAAACTTCATCCCTTTAGCACAAGTATAAAGAAAGGACCTTGCAAAATGTCTTTAGAACATCCAGATAAAACCTGTTATTTTTTTTGATCCACTATTTTAGTATTGTTTCCTCCCTGTCACTCCCCCCCAAAAAAGGAAATGAATTTAGTTTGATTTGACCTATTCTCGCTGAAGCCATGCTGGCTTCTAGTCATCACCATTTCTTCTTTCTAAATGCTCAAAAATCATCCTTTTAGGAAGAAATTCTGGTATTTTACCAGGAATAAAAAGACAGGTTTATTGGCCCTCAGTTTAAAGATTATACCCACTTTCTTTTTTCAAAAATTGAGACATTTGTCTATATGCCGTCCTGTGGAACCTCTTTCATTCTGCATGGTTTTTAGGAGAACACTAACAAAGAGAGGCTCATCTGCTAGTTCTTTCAGTAGAATGAAATATGATTCATCCAGGTGTGATGACTTGAACTCAGTGAGAGCCTTTCTTGTGATTTTCCCCTTTCTCTCTACTTACACAGTATCTACCCTGGGTTCAGGTCCTGACCACGTCTTGCCTGGTCTGTCTCAGTAGTCTCCTTCTTGCTCCCCCATCCTCTAGTATCACCCTTCTTCAATTCATTCCCCACAAAGCTGCCAGATCGATATTCCTCAGACACAGATCTTAGCAAAGCACTTCTCTACTCAAAGGTGCTCAGTGGCTTCCTACTGACTCTAAGGTAAAACACAAAATTCTCAGCCTAGTATTTCAAGACCTCTACCATCTGGCTCTGGTATATTTTTTCAGCCTCGTTCCATTTTATTCCTCAACATACTCTCTGTTCCAGGCAAATTAGCCTGCTAGCAGGTCTTCCCATACAACATTCTATCCCTTGACTCTGTGACTTTGTACAAGCATTTTCCTAGACCTGAAACATACCTCCCCCTTAGTCTCTGCCTTGAAGATTCTCTAGTTTCCTTTGAAACACAGCTCAGATGCCACCACTTAAAAGAGGTCTCTTCTAATAACTACAATTATTAGCATACTTTCTCTTGAAATTGTTTTCTATTACTTTAGGTGTAATTTGCATTTGTATGTGTGTATATGTGTACATGGAGCTGGGTAGTGCAGTGGATAGAGCACCAGGCCTGAAGTCAGGAAGACCTGAGTTCAAATCTGGCCTCAGACACTTACTAGCTATGTGACTCTGGCCAAGTCAGTTTCCTGATCTGTAAAATGAGTGGGAGAAGGAAATGGTAGACCATTCCAGTATCTTTGCCAAGAAAACCTCAAATGTGATCGTGAAGAGTTGGACACAACTGAAACAACTGACCAATGTGTATGTGTGTGTGTGAATGTGTGTATCACTTCAGTAGACTATAAGCTCCTTGAAGGCAAGGACTATTGTTTTATCTTTATATTCCCAATGCCTACCTCAATTCCTTACACATAGCAGGTATCAAATTTAATTAGACTGTCATCTAACTTATCTTGGGTTTCAGCTCCCATTTTTGTTTTATATTAATTTCAGTATTGACTTCTATTAGCCATTTTAAAAGTAATATGACCAGTGTTCAGGGTAGCTAGGAATGCAGCAACAAATAATGAAGGCATAACAATATACAAATCTTATTTTGCTTCAAAATAATTCCAGATTATTTGATTATGCTGCCAAATAAAACTCTTGTAACAAATATGCAGAGACAAGCAAAACAAATTTCTACCTAATTTTTTTCTCAATCTGATGTTTAAAGAATAGGTCCAGGTGCATTGTGAAAATAGATCACATAGTTCAAGTAAAGATGTTATTCGAACTACCTGAACAAATGTATAATGTACTCTTGAACTAGCATGGAATCACAGAGTGTTAGAGTAGAAAGGGGCTTTAGAGATAATGTATTCCACCAACCCTCTTATTTTGAGGAGGAGGAAACTGAGGCCCACAGATCACATAGAGCTACCTATTAACATTCTAGGATTCCTACTTAAGTCTTTTGACTGACAGCCAGTGTACCTTTGAGTACATCATGCTTGTTCCCCAAGCCTGTTATTTTATTTTTTTATTTCCTGTAACACATTGATATTTTTTCAAGTAGTAAGCATTTATTATCTTTCCTTCCTGCCTCTCTTCTCCCTGCCAGAAAAGAAAAAAGAGAAATAAAATGTTTGTAACAAATATGCGTAGTCAAACAAAACAAATTCCCATATTGGCTATGTCTAAAAATGTATATCTTAAATATTTAGTCTGTTACTTCTCTGTGTTCATCATTAGTCTTTTGGAATCATGGCTGATCATTGCATTGATCAGAGTTCTTAAGTCTCAAAATTGTTCATTGTTACAATATTGTTGTTATAGTAAGCATTTTTCTCCTTGTATTATTTATTTGACTCTGCATGAGTTTATTCATGTCTTCCCAGGTTTCTCTGAAATCATCCCTTTCTTCATTTCTTTCAATACAATTCCATTACACTCATATACCATAATTTGTTCAACTGTTCCCCAATTTGTAGGCGTCACAAAAAAAGCCACTATAAATATTTTTGCACATATCTTTCCTTTTTCCTTTTTTAAAAAAATCTCTTTGGGATATAAGCTTAATTAGTAGTGATGTTGCTGGGTCATAGGATATGCAGAGTTTAATAACTCTTGGGGAATAGTTCAAAATTGCTCTCCAGAATGGCTCCATCAATTCATAGCTCCACCAAGAATTCATTAATAAGCCCATTTTCCCACAGCTCCTCCAACATTTGTCATTTTCCCTTTTTGTCAACTTTGCCAATCTAGGAGTCTGAGGTGGAGCCTTAGAAGTGTTTTAATTTGCAGTTCTTTTGTTATTAGTGATTTGGAACATTTTTTATGTGTCCTATTAATAGTTTGGACTTCTCACCTTGAAAACTTCCTGTTCATGTGCTTTGACCATTTGTCATTTGATGAATGGCATATATGTGTATATACTCATATACTTATGTATGCATATATATTCATATATATATATATATATGTCTTGGAAATAAGACCTTTATCAGAGGAAGTTTCTGCAATGGTTCCCCCCCCCCATTCATTCTTTCTCTTCTCATCTTAGGTGCATTGATTTTACTTGTGCAAAACTTTTTAATGTTATATAATCAAAGTTATGTTTTATATTTTTTTTCAGTATATGTAATTTTCCTCATCTATGGTCTCTTAATCTCTTTAATGGAAGAGGAAGAGTAGAGGGAGGAGGAGGAAGAGTTGCATTTTTTTCACCTCTTTTCCAGAGGCAAACTTATTATTTCATAGTGTTCAGTTTTGTTTTAATGATATTTCTATTTATATTATTGTAGTTATTGTGTATCTTTTCTTGGTGCTTCTTGCTTAATATGTTCACATAAATCTTCCCGTGTTTCTCTAAAATTTTCAGACATTATTTCTTATTGTGTGGTAAGATTCTTGTAAATTTCTATGCCATAGTTTGTTTGTTTTTTTAGCCATTCCCCAATAGATGAGCATCTATATTGTTTCCAGTTCTTTATCAACACAAAAAAGCTGTTATGAAGTTTTGGGTGTCCATGAGACTTTTTCCCTATCACACCTCTGGGGTATATGCTTTGTGGTGGGAACTCTGATTCAAAAAGTATGGATAGTTTAGTAACTTTTTATTTTTTACTTATTTTAAAGTTTTTTTCCTAGCATGCTTAGACCAATTCAATAGTCTCACCAACATTATATTAGTATACTGGTCTTCCTGTAGTTCTTCAAACATTGACTATTCTGATATTTGTCATCTTTGCCAGTTTGCTGGTTGTGAAATAAAAAGTCAGAGTTATTTTTCTTTGTATTTATCTTATTAGTAATTTGTAGCAATTTTCAAATTAGTAATTTGCTCTTTTTCTTTTCAGAATTATTAATTTTATTTCACTATTTAGCTATTGGATAATGGTTCTTGGTCCTATATATTTGTGTTAATTCCTAACATATTTTGGATACCAGACTCTCATCAGAAATATTTAATGCAAACTCTCCCCCCATTTGTTGTTTTACTTTTTATATTAGTTACATTGATTTTTGAATATGCAGAAGCTTTTCATTTCCCCCAAATCAGAATTATCTATTTTATTTCTCTCCTGTTCCTAATTTGATCAAGACTACTCCCCTTAGTCATAGTTGTAAAGATATTTCTATCCATTTTCCTTCAATATTTAAATGATGTGATCTTTTATATTTTAGTTAAGCATCCATTTGGAACTTATTGTTGTTTGTGGTATTAGATGCTGTTCTAAACCTAACTTTTTGCCAAACTGCTTTCCAGTTTTTCTTGTCAAATAGGGAACTCTTCCCAAATTATTTATGTTGTCAGATTTATCAAAGACAGTTGTTAATTTCAGTTGTGATTTTTCCTTATCTACTCTGTTCTGCTGATGTACTAATTTAAAAACTACTACCATAGAGTTTTGATGATTGCTGCTTTATTACAATTAAAGATCTGGAAATATTATTACTCTTCATTCTTTCTTTTCCCCATTCTTTCTCTTGCTGATTCTATATCTATATCTTTCAAATGAATTTTGCTATTACTTTGCCTGGCTCTACCCCTTTGGGAGTTTTATTGGTTATACCATTAAATTAATTTAGGTAGGATCATAATTTTTTATTATGGTGGTATAGCCTAACTATGAGCAGTTAATATCTTTCCAATTTTAAAGTGTTCTTTGTTTATTTGAAGATTGTTTTGTAATCGTCTTTATATGTTTTAAGTATGTTTGATGGATTAACTTCCAGATATTTTGTGTATTTTGTAGTTATTTGGAATGAGATTTCTCTTTGTAATATTTTCTCCTTCATTTTGCTATATAGAAAAGCTGGTACTTTTTTGTGGATTTATTTTGTATTCTGCTTCTCTACAGAGGCTATTAATTGCCTTGTTTTCTTTACTGATTTTTCTGGGGTTTTTATAAGTAAATCATTACATTCTCTTAGGAACGTAAGGAATACTTACAATTTTGTCTTCTCTTTTACAACATTTATGCCTTTAAATTCTTTTTTTTGTCTCATTGCTATTTCTAGCATCATTTTCAATAATATTGGGGAGAGGAAAAGTTCTAGCTTTTTAACAATGCTTTTGGCAGTATCTCTTATGCTATTCTTTTGGAAATTATGGAAAGGGGGGAGCTAGATGATAATTCAATTAGAACTAGTTCAATGGCTAGCTCCAAAGAGTATTCATTAATAGTCCAATATCATCATGGAAAGATGTCTTCTATTGGAGTGTTCCAGAGATCTGTTCTTAGTGCTATGAAATTTAATGTTTTTATTAATGACTTAAATTAGGATATATATTAAAAATTTATCTATGTTCCAGGCTAAGTGGAAGTGCAAAGAATCATAGAATCATAGAGTTGGAAAGGAACTCAGGGACTATCCAGTCTGACCCATAATTCTGACCATATTGTAATAGAATCCCCTCTATAGTATACTCAATATATGATTATCCATCATTTCCTTGAAGGACACTAGTGAAGAGAAATCCAGTGCCTTTTCAAGTAGCTCACTCTACTTTTTGACAGGTAGTCCACTAATTCTTAAATTATCACTCCTCAATCTATTTTTCCAGGTCACTTGTTTTTCCAATGAGATATTTCATATTTACTTCTATTTTTTCATTTTTTGACTTTGTTTTTTTTTTGTTTGTTTGTTTCTTGATGTCTCATGGGGGTAATTAGCTTCCACTTGCTCGATTCTAATTTTTAAGGAATTATTTTCTTCAATGAGGTTTTGTACCTTTTCCCATTTGGCCAACTCTTCTTTTTAAGGAGTTCTTTTCTTCATTGAATTTTTGTACATTCTTTTCTAGTTGGCCAATTCTACTTTTTAAAGGAATTCTTCTCTTCAGTGGATTTTTGTGCCTTTTTATTACCATTTGGCCAGTTCTGGTTTTATTTTCTTCAGTATTTTTTTGTGTTTCTTTTCCCAAGCTGTTAATTTTTTTTTTGTAATTTTCTTGCATCACTCTCATTTCTTCTCCCAGTTTTTCTTCTACAATTCTTATTTCTTTAAATCTTCTAGGAATTCTTGTTGAGTTTGGGTCCAATTAGCATTTTTCTTTGAGGCTTTTTGGTAGCTGTTTTCACTTTGTCATCTTCTTTTGAGTTTAAGTCTTGGTCCTCCCTGTCACCATAGTAGCTTATTTTGGTCAAATTCTTTTTTGGTTGTTTGCTCATTTTTCTAGCTTTTTTCTTTACTTTGAATTTTATGTTGAATTTGGGTTCTGCTCACTTGGGTGTGAGGAGGTACTGTCCCAAGCTTCAGGCTTCTTCATGCTGCTGTTTTCAGAGCTAGTTCTTGGGGTCTTCAAGTTTTCAATGCTTCCAAGGTAGTGTGATGTGGGTAAAGGTGTGGTCACTGCTCTTCTGGTCTGTGCTCTGATCTTTACCCAGGAAGGGTCCCTATCCCCTATAGCCACAAGCACTAGCTCCTCTTGTTGTGTTGGAACTGTGTCCAGGTCCCCTGCTCCCTTGTGACTGATCACAAACACTCTTCTCTACTGTGGAACTGCAACCCAGAACTACATATGGGCAATAGTTACCAGTCAGTGCCAGCTGTACTCAGTACCAACAAAGGCCCCCTATAAACTCTTTCTGACCATTTGTCCAATCCCCGTACTGTGTCTAGGCTGAAAGCTTCTGAAGTTGCTACTGCTGCTGCTGCCACCACAGCATATGTATGCTCTGAACAGGCTTCCACATCTGTGTCACTAACTTCTCCTCCTGACCTCTTAAATTTTCTTGGGCTGGAAAAATGTCTCACCCTGACCTTTTGCTGGTTATGCCACTCCAAAATTTGATTTGAGGCATTATTTTAAAGTAGTTTGGAGGAGAATGTTCGGAGCATTCAGCTGGGTGGCTGCCCCCAATCCACCATCTTGGCCCCCACCCAGATTGGACTCTTTTTATAGCTTTCATTTTTCTTCTTCATTAAAATGTTTTTTAAAAAATTTTTTTCTCTTTTGCAAGTCCATTCCTCTTGGGCCGACTTCTCAATAGAGGTGAAGTATAGTGGACACAGAACTGGCTTTGGAGCCAGGAAGACCTGATTTCAAGCTCTGGCTCTGAGACATGGGCTATATGACCATGGGCAAGTTACTTAATGTTTCAGTGCTCTAGGCAACTCTCTAACACTCTAAATATCAAGAAGCTGCCACTCGGCCTTGGTGGATGGAGTTTCCTTCTCTTGGAGTGTTCCCTATACCAGTGAAGTCATGCATCCAATCTGTTACCCAGTCCCTATACTTGTGGAAGAAAGAGAGCTCAAGCGAGATTTCCAAAATTGAAGTCCCTCATTACTACCATAGCCTACTTTTAGGCCAAGTTCGTGATCTGTTTCCTGGTACAACTGAATGGTCCGTGATGGAAGGCCTCTGTTTCTTCATGTCCCATGTCCTACCGCAATTTTACTCGGTTTCTTGCGCTGTTGATTGTCACCCATTCTTTCTCTCATCTGGTTTCTGGATTTCTTCAAATGAAGCATCTTCTGAAAATACAAACCTATTTAGCTGCCCCCTTAAATCTAATCTGCTTCTTTGGAATAAGGTGCATCTTTCTGTTGCCATGATCTAGTCATCACAGGCCATATTCTCCTCAAGTCTCAGGGATACTTATGAAATCAAATCTATCTTCTTGTGTTGTTTCTTTTAGTTTACCTTATTTGTTACCTTTATTTTCTCCATAAAAATCTGAGATGATAGGTTTCATTATTATTTTCTCTTTTTGAGTTTTGTTTCATGTGAATTACAGGTCCTTTCCCCTAATGTTCTATTTTGCATATTGTACCAGCTTCTGTATTGTGCTCTCCATGATAACGGGATTGGCAGATAACATATTGACAGCTTTCTTTTTCTCCCTTCATTTTCAATTTAAATCCCTCTGGATGAGATTCACAATTCTCCAGGCAGTTATATTTTTCCTGTTCCTTGTTAGATGTGCTCTGTCCTTAGCCAACAGTCCACCCATATTTTATCCTAAGCCAGGGTCCAGAAATCCAAATCCCATTCACAGACATTATTTTCTTAACCAAGGGCTTACTTGCTAGATCTGTTATCCCATTCTGAAGCACTTCTCAATTTTCAGCCATAATTAAAAAATAACACCCATGTCACTGAAGTCTTTAGTATTATAATCTTATAATCTAAATTAGACCATATTATGGGGATCCTATAGGAATCCTAAAATGTTAAGAGCTAGGAAGTACCTCAAAAACACCCAGTTCAACCCCTTTTGTTTACAGAGGAGGAAACTGAGTACCAGAGAGAGGCAGTGACTAGTTCAGAGTTGCATAGTGAGTTAGTAGCAGAGCCAGGACTACTTGGTACCCAAGTCTCCTGATCCTTAATCTAATGTTCTTTCTGCATTGCCGAGCCTCCCTTGGGGGATGCATACTACAGATTATTCTAGAAGCACCTTTTTGTTTCATTGTGTTTGTGCTGTACACAGTTCCCTTCCTCAGTTCACACCATTAGGCTATGGTGAAACTAAGAAGAGACTTTCATTACTCTCACTCTGGGCTTTCTAATTCATTCTTTCAGTAGCACATTAAAAACTAGCAGAGAAATAGCCAGTCTTTAAGAGGGAGGGACATTGTATAGATGTCCCAAGTTTTTCCATCACAACTGTATCTGCCTGTTTTGGCTTCTGACTTGTTCTCAGCTCTGAATCTCCTTTAGTCCTTCTAAACGACCTCTCATTTGGTGTCCCTTTGCTCTGGCATCTTTACCCTGGCTAAATTCTCACTTGATATCCTCCCTGCATTTTCTGATTTTTAACTCTGGCCTTGTGCTTTCTCCTCAGTTTGTTTGATCCTCTGGCTCCTGGTTAACCTCCCCATTATTGTAAATTGGTGCCAGGCACTGTCCAGCTTAGGCACAGCAAGACCATCAGGTCCCCAGAAGAGGAGTTTTGTGGTGACATCTTGATTTGTGGTTACATAATTAACATCCAGAAGAAAGGATCAGTATGTGGCCATGACTTCTCAAAGTATTAGAATTAACTTTATTGTGTTAAATGAAGTAACCCAGCTCCCAGCTTATCCTCACAAGAGCATGTGACAGGGAACACTGGGCAAATAATGTATCCTCGAGTGAAGTGAAGCACCTTTAAAAAAAAAAAGGCAGAAATAACAAGTATGTGTACTGCAGGGTAGAAAATGGGACTGACTACCAAGTCAAAAAGGAAGGTTCTTTTATTATTAAACGTTTTGTGAACTTTAGCCATAGTCCCACCCAGTGCAATCACATTTTCAATTCATATTCAGTTCAATAATCATGGTACTATTCTAGGTTCCAGGGATACAGAATGAAAAATGACATACTACCTCTTGGAACTTGAAATATTAGGGAAGATACACTATGTATGCAAAAGTAAAATGTAGCAGGGGCAAAAGAAGGATCAAAAGTCCTTTATGAAAATTTGAATAAGGAAAGAGTTCTTTTAGTTGAGAGTAAGGTGAGTCAGGGATGCCTTCCTAGGCTTTGTGGAAGAGGTTACACCTGAGTTGGGTCTTGAAGAAAGGAAACGATTTTTATATAGAGAGATAAGAATGTTGTATGTTTTAGGAATGGAAGATAGTATGCATGAATACATAGAAGTGTAGATCAGTTTGACTAAAGTGTAGTGTGTGTGTGTGTGTGTGTGTACGCGTAGGAGAATAATCATAAATGTCTGGAAAGAAAATTGTAGCCAGATTTTGGAGTGGCTTAAATCCAAAGGTGAGTTTGCATTTTATCCTGAAGGGATGGTTAGAGTACTTTGAACAGAGTAATGGTGTGTTCAAGCCTATGCATTAGGAAGATTAATTTAGTAGCTGTGTGGAGACTACACTGGAGAAAGAAGAGATTAGAGGAAAACACTTAAGAGGTTATTAAAATTGTAATGTCCAGGGACATTCCCTCACATGCAGGCTCCTCAGAGATGGCTGTCCCATGTTTAAGGTATTCTTTTGGTTCTACCTCTATCATCTAGATCACATAGGGGATTGAGTTCTGGACTTGGAGTCTGGAAGACCAGATTTCAACTCTCCCTTAGATAGTTATTAGCTGGGTGATCTTGGACAAGTCACTTAATCACTGGCTGCCTCAGTTTCTTCGTCTATAAAATGGAAAGAATAATAGCACCCACCTCACAGCGTTGTGCTATCAAGATCAAATAGGTCAACATATGTAAAAATGCTTTTAAACTTTAGCTATATAAATGCTAGATATTGTAATGCCTGTCTTAAGTCATAAAGCACTATATAAACATTAGCTATTAAAGCAATAGGTAACAAGCCCTCAGCGATGTATTTAGGATACAGTTCCAAGCAGAGGCATTGAAATGGCATTGTAAGAAAAGTAGTAATCAAACATTTCCCATATAAGTCTGGGGCATAGTCTCTCTCAAAGCTTACAGCATTAGTAAGCGGAGTGGACATATATAAGGAACATGTGTGTTCGGGATATATATGTGGAAGGGCATGTGCATAAGAAACACACATAGCCAGGGTACATGCATAGAGAGGTACATGTAGAGGCAATTCATAGGGCTAGGTCATAGAGGGGAAGAGCAGCCTATTACTGTCGGGTCACCAATGTCTTACATGATGTCATTGCCCTGTCGCTATGAATCCTTCCCGCTAGTCCCCACTGGATATGTTATCTCTGCTTGATATTGCTCTGCCAGAAACATAGTTTTTCCAAGTGCACAGTGTCTATCAGATGGTGCCAGGTGAGGTCCCAGTGGACTTATGACTCTGGAGCTTGTCTTGCTTCTAGCTGCCAGCCTCAGCTAAAATCCTTGGCTACAGGACTATCTCTTCCTCATGAGAAGAGTGGGTTTTTCCATGGTTTTTTTTTTTTTGTTTTAAAGACAGAGGCTCTTTTAGAAAAGCATCTACCCCTGCCATAGACTAGCAATAACCCTCAGGGTAAAATCCCCTTCTTAGCTTCACCCCCTCCCCCTCCACCAAAGAATTACCTGTCGTGGTCCCTTCATTGTCTTGGCTGTAAAGCTTCTCATCTAAATCAAAACAGATATTCATTAAGCACTTCCAATATGCCAGGCACTGTGCTAGGCATTGCCAATACAAATACAAAGAATGAGATATTCCTTACTCACAGTGAGCTTGTCTTCTAATGGAGGAGACAAGCACATAAAAAATAAATAAACATAAAGATTTTACATACACCTGTGCAGAGACACACAAAGTTGTTAGCTGTGAGGTAGCTTGGGAGGGAAGGCACTAACAGTTGAAGAGATCAGGAAAGGCTTCGTGCATAAGATGATGTCTAAGCTGCGACTTAAAGAAGGAGTGGTGGTGGGGGTGCTATATGAAGTGAAGGTAAGGAAGGTGTGTATTCCAGGTATGGGGGAAAGATAAAGGTGTCATTGACAGCTATAGATACCAAGCTCTTTAGAATAATAGATAAGAAGTGAGTGCTTTCAGGCTCAAATCTGTCTATCGATTTTTTGGAATTGTTACTTGCTAATTTTGGGATTTCTGTTAGTAAGTTCACTCTACCTTGTGGCCAACATTCCATATGTCACCTGATTTTAATCTCTCTGAACTGTTTCTCAGACGTGATACTCCATTTTCTGTCTCTGTGCCTTTGCTTCAAATACCTCTAGTACCTAGAAATCATTCCTCCCCCCCCCTGCCCCAACATACTTTTGTCTCTTAGACTCCCTAATTTTCCTAAAGATTCTGTTTAAGCTCTACCTTCTATGTGAAACCTTTCCAGATAGCCCCAGCTGCTAGTACTTCCTCCTTCAAAATCACCTTGTATCTATTTTGGCTCTGTTTTTATGTACCTATATGTACATGCTACTCCTCTTGATAGATTGTAAATTCCTTGAGGGAAGATGTCAATCAAGGGAAACTATGAACCAGGCTAGTGGGAATATATACCAAAAAAAAAAAAAAAGGAAAGAAAAGAAAGGAGGGACATATGTGAGAGAGACTGTAAAATCAACATGACTTTGTAGGTGATTGGATGTGGAAAGTCAGAGAAAGAGAAGAACCAAAGATGACTGAATTATGAACCTGGGAATATTGGTACTAACAACAAAAATAGTGAATTTGTGTGGAGAGGTAGGAGTGGTAGAGAAGATGAGACCAGTGTTGTCTTAAGCAAAATTTTATTGAAGATCATCAGAAAGGCTGCATCATTTAATGAAAAATGCTGGATTTGGAGTCAAATCTTGACTTCGTAACTTGACTCCATGACACTCCAATATGTGGGCAGATCACTTACCTTTTGTGCGTCTCAGTTTCCTCATCTGTAAAATTAGGGAGTTGGGTTAAATGGTCTCCACAGTCCCTTCCAGATATATGTTTAAGATTATTTCAAACGATCTCTGTTTAAAGACTGATCAATTGCTCTTACACTTAAACATAAGGTTTTGATAGTGAACCAAACTGGCTAAAATCTAACAACTCTTATGAAAGTGAAAAAGAAATGTGAAGTAAGGAGTCATTGAGTTGAATCAGAAACCTCCCTTATATTAGGTAAGCTGTTTTGGTTGTCCTTTTGATCTATCACACTTTGTTTATTTAATTTTCTTTCAAAAATTGTTCATTTTTAATATTATTTTTAAAATAAAATTTTGAGCTCTGAATTCTTTCCATCCCACAGACCCTCCCTCACACACTAAGAAGGTAAGCAACATTATATTAACTATACATGTGAAATCATGAAAAATATATTTCCATATTAGTTGTCTTGCCAAAAAAGTAAGAAAAATAAAGTTTAAAAATATTTACTTTAATTTGTACTCAGAGTTCATCAGTTCTCTCTCCAGAGGTAGATAGCATTTTTCATCATGAGTCCTTTGGAATTGTCTTTGATCATTGTATTGATTAGAGTAGCTAAGTCTTTTACAGTTGATCTCAATTCATATAGGTCTTCCCAGGTTTTTCTGAAAGCATCTTGCTTATCATTTCTTATAGCACAATACTGTTCCATCACAATCATATCTCACAATTTGTTCAGCTATTCCCCAATTAATGGGCATCCCCTCAACTTCCAATTCTTTGACCTCACAAAAAGAGCTGCTACAAATTTTTTTTTGTATACGTAAGTCCTTTTCTTTTTCCTTTGATCTCTTTGGGATACAGACCTACTGGTGGTGTTACTAGGTCAAAAGGTGTGCACAGTTTGGTAGCCCAGGGATTATAGTTCCAGATTGTTCTCCAGAATTGGTTGTTCTTTGGTAATTACTTCCTTTTAAAAAAATTTTGGGAGGGGGAAGTAATTGATGCTTATTTATGAGTCACACCTTCCTAACTTCTTCCAAGTTTGTAAAGCCTGGTTTGTATTTAATCTACTTCAATTAATGTTTTTGACCCTTAATCTCCACTGAGTCTTCTCCTCCCCAAGCCAATTGTCATTGAATTATTTGACTTTACATCCCTTATGAATAATTATAGAAAGTATTATAGTATTAAGAAACATCAAGCAACAGATAATGTAAAATGAGGCCGTAATTTCTACATTAACCAAACAAGTTTCTCCTGTCCTCCTCCAAAACTAATCCGTCTATGTTCTTGGATCATAGAGTCAAAGGCAAGACTTGAACCCAGGTCTTCTTTACTCTAAGACCATTTCCTATATCTACTACAGCACAGCTCCCTCTCAATATAATTTCCTTATGAGAAGACTGAGGCTCAAAGAGAAAAAAATTACTTGCCCAGGGTCATAAGCTAGTAAATGGAATAGTTGGATATTCAGATCACTAAATCATCTGTTATGATATAGATACAATTCAGTTTAATTCAAAAAACATTAAGCACCTGCTATGTGTCAGACATTGTGCTAATGGCTAGGGATAGGAAAGAAGCAAAAGATAGTCCCTGCCCTCAAGGAACTTACAGTCTAATCAGGGAGATGACAGACAAATATGTACAAAGCAAGTTATATACAGGATAGATAGAAAATAGGAAAGGCACTGGAAGGTTAAGGCTTCCTGTAGAAGGTGGGAATTTAGTTGGAGCTTAAAAGAAATCCAGGGTGGACAGTAGCTGGAGTGGAGGAAGGAGAGCATTCCAGGCATGGGCGGGGTGGGTGGGGTGGGGGGACAACCAGAGAGAATGCTCAAAGCCAAAACAGAATCCAGTACAATCCTTAAGTCAATGTTGCAGATAAGCCAGTGTGTGTACACACACACACACACACACACACACACACACACACACACACACATATTTGTATAACAATAATAACCTGTCCTAGTCTTGGGGGACTGGGGTGCCATGCCCTCTCCTTCTCTGGATTCAAACACAAGCTAGTATCAGTGCTAGAGAAGCTTAACCATCTAAGAAGAAGGCTCTTGACTAGTAGAGCTCTTTACAACTCCACCACAGAGCCCTGGGGAAAACTATTTAAAGTTTAGGGTTGCCCCATGCCTAGGGTCTCCCCAAGGGTGTGTATGTGTGTATGTGCAGAGGGGTAGGCAGGTACTCAATGTGCAGAGTAGATATTTATGTCTCCTACAAAAGAAATGCTAGGCATGAAATGATGCTCACATATGCACTGACAGCAAACTCAAAGAAACAGCAGTAATAATTTATAACTACTGTTAAATTCTCCCAAGAGGTTGATACTTAAAATATCAAAACATGATGCAGTTTGTGGAACTGCTGGATAGGCATTTTCTATTTATTTTTCTTTATCTCTGTGCTGCTCAATCAGTTCCCTCCAGATTCAAATCTTTTGTCAAGCTATGCCAGGGTTGGGCTCCTCCTCCAGCTGATGGTATCTTTCTCTCCAAGAAGCACTGGAGTGGCTATAGAGAGAACACCTCCTCTACTGACTGAGGACTCGGGGACTTTCGAGCTCATAAGATGAGCTTCAGGCTAGTAACATCCATCTCAGGATCAGTGCTTGAATACCTATGATCAGGCAAAGAAACCAAAATGGAAAAGGCAGCCAGCGAGGTCCCATGATCCAAATTCAAGTCATCTAGCTGAGTTTCTGCTTACCTGCCATGAGCTGTCAGATGCCATGCTACTGGGGCAGGAAGAAAGGTACCAATGGGTCTCCCCCAACCTTTCATAACAGTTCTAGGGAGGGAGAACTACTTACCACATGGGAGAATCAAAGGAAGAAGAGACAGAGAGTGAACATTCCTTTTTTGGATGCATATCTTCAGGAGTTATGGAGTGGAGGACCAACCAGAATTCTCTGGGTCATCTCAAAGCAACAAGTCTTTCAGAGGTGAGCTTATTTTCCTGCGAAGCCTCTCCCCAGGCATACTCAACCCTTGCTACATTTGCATGTAAACTTTTTTCTTTTTAACCAGCTAGTCCCTTAAAAAAATCTTCAAATACGCAATTGAAAGAAAACAGCTTTCTTTTCCAACTGCCTGATATCTGGTTCTTGGCTCAGGGCAGGTAAATGAGCATGAGTCAGTATATTAAATTCTTGGGAGTAGCAAAGGCATATGCTGGGCATTAACAGGAATTGGAGTACTGCTACTTATTAATTGCCAAGTTGGTATTCTCCTTCCTCTGCCCCATCTGTGTTCAATATATATAATATTAAACATTTTTTCTCTCTCAGTATTGCTGATAGTGAAGGAATCAATTCACAAGCATTTATTAAGCTTTTGCTATGTGCTAGACACTGTGCTAAGTGTGCAAAGACAGAAACAAAACAGTCCCTGCCCTCAAGGAGATTACATTTGAATGGGCCAGAGCATGTACATATAGATACAGACAAGATACACACAGAAATAGAAACAAGGTAATCCTGGAGGGAAACGCATTAGTAGCTGGAAGCCCCTAGGAAGATGTCCAGACTAGCAGAGTCTGGTGAATGAATGAATGAATCCTGATTCTACCCAGCCTGCCATCTTATATCTAAATAGGAATCATGATAGTAGAAAGACTAGATTCAAACCTGTAAGATTGGAGTCTAAGTTTCACGTAGAATATTAGATTTGGAAGGAACCTCATTTTGACCATCAGTTGAATTAATGTAATAAAAACAATACCTGATAAGGGACAGATAGGTTTAGCA